AATATGTTTGGAATGTTCGAAATGTTCGAAAATTTTTAAATTTTTTATATTTTTTGAATTGTTAAATAGACAAATTTAAATATTAATTCTCATACCACATAAAAAATGCCACCATTTTACCTTTTATAAATTGAAATAACTCTAAATAAAATATATAAGAATTAATAATTAATTCTCAAATTACCAAAAACAATAAATAAAAAATTTCAATATTCTGCATTTTTCAATATTCTGCATTCATAATTCTGCATTCATAAAACCCTTGTATTAAAAATCTGTGCATGAGAAATGTGAGGGGTAATTCAAAGTGAAACCATCTTTAGCTGAACATGTGAGGAAGAGGCCTCACAGCCATGAATGCATCCACCATCTATATACAAGATGAAAATCATTAGCTCGAAAAATAAAGCTGAAAATATCATCTATGAAAGAAGTAACAATTACCATATATAGATGACATAAGCCTTTTAGTATACAAAAAGCATAAAAATATTAACAATAATATATATATATATATATATATATATAAAGAAAAAATACCTCGTCTCTCAGACAAACCGCTCCTTCCCCTCGCCGGTCAACAACCGGCCTGCACCATATTCCTATTCCAAACCAAACTATATGTTTTAGCTCGTTCGATGATGCGCCTGCATTCAAGATTTTTGAAAAAAATAAATATCAAAATATATAAGGGGAACTTACGCACTTGGCACACAATTCTTATGTATTTATATATCTCACATATAAACTTTCATATTTACAAAAATAGCACTTTGGTGTTTTAAATTTATGCATGAAAAGGTGTATTTCACTTTTACATAAATTTTTATGAATAAATAATAAAATACCACATATAACAACGTGTTAACTTGAAGCTACTCACCCATGTAAGCTCTTCCAAAGCTTCGACTTCTCTCGTAGCAAAAAAGGCTAACTGCGTGTATAGATAGACGAAAAATAAAATGAGTTCAACTTTCATAAAGTATTCATAAATGTTATTTATAATTAATACTTCACTGCCAAACTGCAATATGCATATGCCACTTCCTGCACCACAATTAAAGGCATTAATATTACACCCAAATAGATTATAGAAATAAAACTAATCAACCTTAATAAGTTTATCCACTAGAAACAGAGCCAGCATAGTTAAAGCAATCAAATGAAAGCTTTAAATAATCAAAGCAATCAAACACAGCTCTTCCTGCAAGGTTGCACCAAATAAATCCTCCACCCGTCAGCATATAGGTAAGGACAACTCTCACATTCCAGCTCAAGAGGATGGACCAACAATAACTGAAGAGTATAAAGTGTATAACAGCCTTGTTTATGTACCACTGAATTCTTATGCATTTATAAAAGAGCATTGCTTCTTCAAAAAAGCAATAATTGAACTGAAATATTAATTCCAGCTAAACTATCAATCATCTAAAAAAGATTTGAAAGCAGGAAATACAAGAGCATTGTGTTGATATTCCTCCAAATGCTTCCAAAATATTTTCCTCCAAATGGCACTTTTCAGGTAAGCAATCGTACTCTCAAAAATAGAAATATGAAGGCAGGAAACAAGATGGGTTGCTTTAAGAGCATTGCATATTAATAAAAGAGCATTGCATATTAACCGTACTCTCCAAATGTCACTTTTCAGGTAATTTATAAAAGAGGGGACGCCATACCTTGGCTGCCTTCACTTTAATCCATCCTCACATGTAATTATTAAAAAGAAATGGAGAAAGTAAGAGCCAAGCAGTATTTCCTATCAACCCAGTGCCTACAAAACATCATAGACAAATAGCAAGTTCTGCCCAGTGCCTACAAAACATTCTTTATGTTCTACAATTAATCGAGCAGGTAACCATAAACTGAAAAAATGAAAAATTGAACATCCATTAATCTCAGGCTTCCCTATTGCCCTACCATGTATCAGGCTCCAACTTCAGAATAAAAAAAAGTTAATTGCCCCATTCAGTATTGCAGCAGCCATGCCAAGATGCAGATTAAACTGCCACCATTGCACAAGCATGGCTACCATTGCACATTGCACATTACCACATCCTTTTCAAGTTATAACAATCCAGCATGTTTTTCAGGTTAAACTGCCACCATTGCACATTACCTCATCCTTAAGCAAGCCAACAAGCTTTCATACTTTATTAGCCAATATAGCTCTCTAATGCACACCACACATCCTTAAGCAAGCCAACAAGCCACCATTGCACATTGCACATTACCACATGCTTAAAATTTGTAAAGACAACTTTACGGTTAAACTGCAAGACCAGCTTAGCTAAAAGCCAATATAGCTCTCTAATGCAAAAGTTGAGCTATTGTCAAACAATGCTTTAATACAATTTGAAGCAGGACAATGCTCAGCCTGAAAAGCATAAATTCCCAATGGTAAATGATGCCAATGTGATAATTTGTAAATAAGAGGATACAGGTAAATGATGTCATTTCTAATGGTAAATGATGCCATTTCCATGCCTATACAGGCTGCCAAAAACTTTCCAGCCCAAATGAAGTGAGCAAGGCAGTTACTCTAGCATCTCTATAAAGAGAACTCTTATTTGGGTCATTGAAAAGCTTTAATGAATACAAATAAAGTGGAATTTCCTAAAAGATGTATACGATTTGATCAAGCACTTGTAGTTGATAGCCATGGTCTATCAGTCAATAAAAGTTTTGTAGAATAAAAAAAATAAACTTTCATATGAACTGGATCATAAAGCATTGCAATTATTACCACCAACTTTTAAAGAAAAAATCTCATTTGAAACAAATACATTATAAAGCATTCCAATCATTGTAACCAATTAACTCAACTACACAACCTCCCCACCATAATTATGCCCTTCCTACATATTGTTATGAATAATATAACTATATATGCTTGCTTTCATATGCAACATCATAAAACCCCTGCTCCGTAAAGTTCATTCTATTGCCTTTATTTTTTTTTGTTGCATTAAAATGAGAAGCCTCAATTTAAAATTTGCACAATATAAACCATTTCAAGTTCCTTCAGTGTAAAATAACATAGCAATTTTAATATGAACAATTGAAACGTCATGTGGTTAACACATGTTATCTTATGAAGAAGTCTCCAACAGAAGAAAAAACAATAAGGCTTCTCTAAATTTTTTCATAGCCAATGCAAATCCGGGCTACATTGTTTCTCATTCAGCAATGTTATATCCTACAATAACAAGTTGTAGTTATTTGAGACAGATTGAGATAACCCACTTATGCAATGTCACAAATTACTTTTCATGTCAATATATGTTTCATTCCTTACAAGTGAACATGTCTGCTCAAATAAATATCATTTATTTACTCTGCAAATCAAAATTTACAGAAATTATTAAATCCGTTGCCAAAAAGAGCCTTAGCTAAATCTAGCTTGTCATTTAAGAAGATTCAGCCTAAATCATTCAAATCAAGAAAGATGGAAGATGCATAAATCTATCAAATCAAGCTTTAATCATAATTTACTGAATCAAAAATTCAGCTCAAGAGATTCAATAGATTCCCTGTAGCTCAAAAACAATTAGAAAAGTAGCCAACTTTCAACAAAATCCAGTTAAACAGCAGTAAAATGTTTATATGAAAATCCAGTTGTTAGGATTAACAAGTTTAGAAAATAGAGAACATGATGTAAGAACTTCTTGATTCAAGAAGCATTTAATTGTCCCATCTAAAATCCCATGCTAGAGGAATTCTATTTACACCCATACCCAGCTCGTAATTGTTGATTATTGATCATGCCCTGACTCGATTCTACAAAATAGAAGCAAGGAAGATGGCTAAAAAGTATCACTTCACATGTCACTTTTTCCAACTTAGAAAATAAAATCCCTGTGAAGAAGATTGACTGTTGGCAATCTTAAAAGACTGCCTCGGAGCTTTTTCCAACCAAGAGAATATCACTTATTCACTTCACATGTCATGTTCGCCGAGTAAGAGAAGAATCTCCTTGATGTTTAGTTTCCCTTCATATTCATAATAGGGTGAAAAGCAAACCATACTAAAGTTGTCCAAAATAATCAGATGCTCTAGCAAATCTATTTTATAAGCCTTTTTCCCCCATATGCTTAATGATTCTAAATAGTCTATCAATTCTTCGCTTAAGTTTAGAAAAAAAATAAGAAACAAATGTGCCTTTTATCAACCAGCAAGAATACCGAGCAACCGAAGTAACGATTAACGAAAATACCGGGTCGATCCAACGCCGACTCGCAGGGGAAAATACCTTTTATCAAAAAAAAAATAGAAGTAGAGATTAGATAACGAACACAAAAAATCAACTCTGAGCTTAAGACAAGATTTTCGCGATTTTGAGACATGTTCTCACCGAGAGAAGCTTTTCGAGAGAAGGAGCAACCGGAGGAGATAGATCGGCTGCGGTCTCGTGTTTCCGTGAGAGGAGAGCGGCGTGAGAGGAGATCGCGTCAGAGGAGCAGCCGGAGGAGCGAAGGAGCAGCCAGAGCAACTTTCGTGCTTCCGTGAGAGGAGATCGCGTGAGAGGGAGAGGCGTGACCGCGTGAGAGGAGAGCGGCGTGAGAGCAGAGAGGTGAAATTAGGGCTTCCGCTTTCATTTCCAACTTATAGTATAATTTATAAATGCATAATATAAAAATAATAATATAATACATTATAATAATTATATACATTATATTATATAAATATATAATAACTATATTATTAGAGTGTACAGGTTTTAAATTTTAAAATATATTAATTTTTTTTAGTATATAATTATTTTAAAAATATCATAAATTAAATATATATATATATATATATTTAATTTTTTTTATTTCGAACAATAACGATTCGAACACGAACGAACGCATCACTGTTCGTGTTTGATTCGTTTAGCAAACCGAACGAAAAAAATTGTTCGTATTCGTCTCGTTCACTTGTCGAACGAATCGAACACGAACTCACAACGAGCTTTTTTGACAGCCCTAGTATAGACTAGTATAGACTAGTATAGACTGGTAAGGGAGAGTGAATCTGCCGGCAGTCTACCGAGAGGACTCTTCTGAAACTCTCGCAGAAGATCAAATGCCCGCTCAGTCGATCGATCTCGATCTCGACGGCTTTGAGCTCGACCCTGAGGATCTTCACCCCTCGATCCCCCTAAAGCAGGTACCTGCCGGCGACGTCTTTGAGGCTTCAAGGGCCGGTGACGTCGACCGCCTCCGCTGCCTCCTTGAATCCGGCGTCAACGTGAACGCTCGCGACCGGTGGGATTCCGTCGCCCTCTACTATGCCTGCCTTGCGGGCCATGTCGAGGCTGCCCGGATGCTCCTGGAGGCCGGAGCGATCTGCTCCGAGCACACCTTTGATGGGGATCGTTGCCACTACGCTGCGCTTAACCTACGCGTTCGTAGACTCCTCAAGGCGTTCGAGGCCCGGCCGCCGCCACTCGCTCCGTTGCCGGCCGCTCTGAGGGATACGTTTCTCAGCTGTCCGGCAAACCGTCTGGCTTATCTGGAACGGTGCGATGATGTCAAAGACGCCGCTGCGTTGAGGGCTGCAGGTCAGGTTGCGCGCTATCACTCTCTTAGCAGTTTGCTTAAAGGTTTTTAGTTAGTTCTTTGTTTATCATGTTCGATCTTATTTATAAATATGCAGTTCTGTTGTAAGTAATATCTTCAGGACCACAACAGTTTTTTTCTCTTTTGTTATGCTGAATGCCGAATTGTACATGTGGACTGGAATTCTTGGATTTGTGGTGTTATGATCTGAAGTGGGCCTAGTTTGAAAAATGAATTTTAAACTGAGAAAAATTTTTAACTAGTTATGGTGTTGGCAGTGATTGTTGATAATGCTAGAGTGGGTGGCAATGTATACAGAATTTGTTTATCAAAGTAGTGGTGTTCCAAACCTTGAGGTCCTATTGGTAAGAATGCAAGTTTAATATTGGATTCCTTTAAAAGCTCTGGTGAACTATAAAGAAAATATGGATTGGTTGAAGTGAAAAAAGCAAATAATAATAAAAAAATATATTTTGTTGCTTCAGTAACAGTGTAGTACTTATTTTTTTCTTCTTGGGGCATATTGGTCTCCATTTTTGTTAGTTTTTGTTTGATTTATTTTTGGTACAAGTAAACCGATCAATTATATTGCCTCAGGTTGCAAGAAAATGTTTTGACTGTTTTTTATTCTAGTGATTTATGTCAATTGTGTATTCCTGAAGGGAGCACATCAATGAAAGTCCTTGCAAAAGTAGTGCCTATCAATGATAATAAAAAGCTTATGCGACACATGAGATTCCCACCAATGTAATTTCTAGTGAAGATTGATGTGCACACATTTACCTCAACATTATAAAGAGATTGTTTAAGTGGGTTATTCAAGATAAAGTATTGGTCAACCGATTAAGTTAGTTGGGCTTGTTTACTTAGGGCAGATGATGCGCTAATAAGATACAACAACAACAACAAAAAGAACAACAAATCCTTTTTTTCCCATTAAGTGGGAGTTAGCTATATGAATCTGTTTTTTCCATTGTGGACTATATGATCATTTTTTATGCACATGCCCAAGTCTTTTTAAGTTTACCCGTACCTTTCTTGCCAATAGTCAAATCCAAAAACATCTACTCTTCTAATAAGATCATCAGATGGTCGACTTTTAATGTGACCGAACCGCCTAAGACGATTCTCTCTAATTTTGTGTGCCACTAGAGCAATACCAACCCTTTCACTGATATATCTTTTTTCCCGGATATATACTAATTAGATAATTACATCAAATTAGTATACAAGGACTAGAAAGAAAAAATAATATATCAAAGATTCATAGAAATTGTACACGATAAAAATTTAAAAAAAAAACAAAAAGATGATGCACAAAAAGTAGATCTAACATCTTGGATAACACTTAACAAGAATAATGATTTTCTTGTTCAAAGGCCTTTTTGTCACACATAGCATTTGAATTTTCACTTCTTCATTGGCATACCCATGTATAAACTTTTCTTTATTTTTCTTTTTATGTTTTTAGCGGCTAGTTAAATTCTTCTTTACTTATAGTGGAACTTTCCCGCACATGTTTACTTTATTCCTCCTAGATGTTTTGATTGGACAAATATAATCCTTCATTGCTTGAGATATGCTTCCATAACGAATATTTATGTGGGCAATTTCACTTATTTTAGCTTGTCATACCTTTAATCTGCTTCTTCTTCTAGGCTAGAACTTTTATGGAAATTCTCTAATCATAATTAAAAATCTAAGCAATTGATGGAATGAAATTGGTTTAAAAAAAGTTCAATGCAGTAGCATTTCATTTTTATGAATTATAGGAGATCATAAAAAGTTAATGGATGGAATGTAGATGCTATAAAAATTATATAATAAGCAAACAACCATACAGATGTGAACTTACCAAATAGCATAATGCCAAAAATGTTTTCATGGAACAAAGATGCTAGAAAAGAAAAACTGTATATTTTTTTCCTTTAGAATCTATACTTTGACATAAAAGCTCTAATTATTTTTGAGGCCTGCAACAACACTTTATTCGACACCAAAGCATTGTACTATAGTATATTAGTCACAATGGCATTGGCATATTACTAGCCAAGCCCCCCCAAAAGAAAATCACAACATTGATAGAATAAATTCCACATGCAATGAAGCTGACTGAACCAATAGAGTTTATTTTGCATCATACCTAGTATAATAGTGTTGGAAGTACCAATGCATCAATTAACCTTGATTAGAGGGTCATGAGTTCATCTTTGTCAATTCACTTCATCAATTGTTAAGTACTTTATAATGTGGCCAACTATATCAATGACATAGACAATACATAGTTTGAAATTCACCATTCTTCATTGCATTTTGTGAAAAGGGGGAATTACCTAAGAAGACTGAGAGATAACTGAGAGCGCCACTAAGAAACAATAAATAATTGATCAATGTCCAAATCGTGATGCCTTAGTTGAAATGTTTATTAAGTTTCTATCTTGTACAAATTAAAGTGTTGAAGCTCGTGAGCACCAAAAGAGACAACTAGTGAAGTGTATTCCATAATAAAGCATAAAATCTCCCAATTGTCGCTATGGAAAGAAGATTGAAGAATTATTGCAAAAAATATAGAAACTATGATTTTTTTCATGAATGCAGGGCTGGATTGAGCATTTTGGTGACTAGGTGTATAATAAATAAAATGAATAGAGGCACATTACTTGCCAGCTGGCTATATTAAGAAAGCAAACACCTTACGTTGTAGTGTCCCATCAACATGCATTTCAAAGCATATTGAAGTGCACAATGTGTAGAAATTTGTAGTAAGGCAAAGCACAATTGCTCCATTAGGTGCACTACCCTTGCATTGATCCTTAGACATTGTGCCTCCCCCATGCTCTATGAGGGAGGGAAGAGATTTGTTCATCAATTTAAGGGTGAAGTGCCCCTTCTCTCATCAACATAAATTCAATTTATCCTTTCTTATGCGAATACATGAGGATATGGTGGGAACTTTGAAGATAAATGGTGGTGTAGAAGATAACTTGCTTGTTTGATATTTCTGATTTTTTATTTGGGCGGGCTTGTTTTTGATTAGTGTAACTACCGTAGAAAGATTATGATCCGAATGTTCCAAGGTCCATGTTTGTTACCTTGATATTATGTTGTAGCTATTTTTAGTGAAGTAATTTCATATGTGGTTATGTTTAATTTCCTTTTTTTTGTAAGTTCTTTCTTGTGCATGGCTTGATTTAGTAACCAATAAATACAAAATGTTTGATCTTGATACATGATTGATGCCTTTATTTTCTAAGGAAGTAATTACATTTGAGTATAATTTACTTTGCTTGAAGTGACTAAGCTTCCGATTTTAGTTTAAGAGAATCACTATTTTATCACTTTATTTTATTTTTGTATATCTCATGTTCTTTCTATAGTAAACTTATAGTTTTCATAAGTAATGTTTTCTATTTTGCTTTTACGAATATTTTAAGGCAAGTCATGCATATGCTTTGCAAATGGTTAGCCAAATTCACTTGGTTTAGATATGACACAAAGGATATCAAAATCCATATATTCTCTAGGTTAAAATCTTGTGATTATTTTAGACTCATATATGTAGATCTATTAATAAACGGATTGTATGCAAACTTATCAATGAGTAATATCAAATGCATGGTCTTTTATTTTGCATCAAAATAAATGATTCAAACTCATATTACTAATTAAGTTTGCTCATTAATTTGTGGGCTAAGTAGTTAAAATTTTTGTTGAGTTATCATCTTTTTCATACTTTTCAAGAAATAGCTCAAAATTTTTATATTGATATTACACACAATAGCTTTAGATAAATCATTCAATTTAACAACCTCATTAAAGTAAAATTTTGCTATATATGAGGAGTCAACAATTTTATTGCTTGAAATAAAGTGAGCCATTCTATAAAAGAGACGATGTCAAAGATGGAATTATGTTTCTTAAAAGTTGGTGTTTTTTTCATGAATTTCGTAATAACATCTTTTCAAGACTTATGAGGAATATGTATAGGTAAAAATGTGTGCACCTAGTATTATTTCTTTGCTCTTTAGTTGTTTGTCTAGTTTTGAGTGAAAATATTCTTGCAATATCTCTTTTTAAATATTTTTAGCTTTATCCATCCTCAACCATAGCATTGGTCAATGATCAACAACACTGCCAACATGAGGAGTGCGAGCTGTGCTTGAGTGAGCTCAAGTATTTTTCATCTCATTTTCTTAACTTGTTGAGTTGAACACGAGCTTTTCGCGAATACAAAGGTTATTTGAAATTCATATATAAATCATGTGATAACATATTGCCTTGCATATGTACATATATCCATACAAATGATAATATATGAATATGAATATACACGATCTATGTATGATTAATCTTTTTGCGTAGTGTTCGATCTTGAGCATTCATTTCAACAATTGCATTTGATTTCTATTGAAGGTTTGAGCTTTCACTCGTATAGAAGTTTAATATAATTGAGCATTATTGCTGAATAGAAGTAATTTCTAGCCATTTTAATGTTTGTTCATGGCAGCTTTTTTATTGCGTTGCTTTTCATACCACCAGCCACTACTATATTTAGCTACTATTTTCTTGTTATTTTCTGGAAATTTTTGTGTTGGAAAGTTTTTTTTACAACTAGATCTATAAATTGTGGTAGATGTATGAAGTTATTATATGAATTTTTCAAAAAATAAAATATTTAAAATGCCCACAATAATTTTCAACAAGTCATTTTATTAACAACAACTTTACAACCATCTTTAAAAATTTTAGGTTTGTCTCAAACAAATCCTTACTAAAGCCCATAGGAGGATCCCGGTTCAGTTATTTCAGATAGAATGGTGGTAAATCTAAATGAGGGAAACAATTGCCAAAATTTGTTGAGAGGTTTTTTGGAAGCAATCAATTGAAAGATATTTTATATTCAAAATAACTGACTTCTGATCATAGCACTGTCATGACATGATATATGCTGAAGTCATCTAAAGCTGTTTTTGAGCAATTACTGTGTTGCGGAATGTTACACTACAAGGTAACTTCTAGCAGAATTTTATTTTGGCTTGTGGGTTTGATACTAACTGCAGGATTCTATGAGTTTTGAGCATACCTAGTCATTAATCAGCTCAACCAAGATGTACTTTCCATCCAACTTACTCTTTTTGCATCCTTGTCGACCATGTTGCTTTAGTTTGTGTGCTAAACAAAAAGTTTGAAGCAAATATAGTTAGTAAAAATTATCAAGCAATTTGAAGGAGTTATTCAAGCTGATATGACCTTTTCATGTTATTAGTATATATGCTAGATCCTCATTTATATGTCTTCCTAATGGACATTGTTTGAACTTTTTTAATTGAATTTGATCTTCTTTGAGCTATGACACTGAGCGTGTAAGTTCTAGGCATGAACATGGACATAATTTTCTAGATCCATGAATTTAATGTTGTAACAGTTGAGCACATTAAGATCCACTATAGCTGCATTGCATCACTCAATTAGGGATTTCTTACTTGCATTTACACATACTCGATCTGTTTTACATATTTATTTATTGCAAGCTAGTTTTTTAGTTTACAATTTGATAGAAGTGCGGAATCTAGTGGAAATTCTTTATTTTTCTTATTGTAGTTTCCCAATGATTAAGTTAACCTTTATGATTTTCCATGCTTCTATCATGGATGACAACATACACATGAATCTTCAATAAACAGGTCAGATGTCATTAAGTGAGGTATCCTTTCCCCCGGATATCACATTTTATGTTGATGGAAGACCTATTGAAGCGCACCGGGTAATCTTAAGTGCAAGATCGCCCTTCTTTAAGAGAAAGTTTGAGTTAGATTGGAAAGAGAGAAAAGAAGTGAGATTCTCCAGACATAAGCTATCTTATTCTGCATTGTACAGTCTTATCCATTTCTTCTACTCTGATAGGCTTGAAGTTGCAGTGGAAGACATGGAGGATCTTGCACGCACATGCAAAGCCTGCAAGTGTGAAGAACTACATAAAGTCTTGCAAAAGGAATTGATTCATCAAAAATATGCTGAGTATAAATCATTAAAGGAAGTGGATAATTCCCAGAAAAGGTTTATTTTGCAAGGCTTGTCTTTACCAGAGGAGGATAGACTTCCTTTTTCCTTGCGTCAAATTCTACAAACTTCCTTAGCCAAGTCACTCTGCAAACATACAGATGATGATGCATATGAATTGCAGATGGGTCAATATGGTGATGATCTTGCCGATGTTTGTATTAAAGTGGGAAAAAGAATTTTTCGCTGTCACCAAGTTTTACTGGCATCTAGGTCAGAGTATTTTCAGGCTAGATTGTCTCGTATGACAGATTTCCTGGAAAATGATGATAGACTATCATCCTCTTCGGTTCCTTTTTTAGAGGAGCATGAATTAAGTACAGAGGTTTTTGAGAAGATGATAGAATACATGTAAAAATGCAATTCCCTCCTTAACTTACCTCCCTTCAAAGTTTTCTGTTCCATTATTTTCTGGTAAACACAGTTGACAGTAAGTCTCCATGAATTCAGGTACACTGATGGCTTGAAGGATGTAGATCCTGATCAGGTAATTGTGCTTGCAATCATAATTCTTTCTAGTGTGTAATTAAGTTATTAATGCAGAATTTGATTTATTAGGCAGGGGAAATATTTGACGCTGCTTCAAGATACTTATTGTTTTCACTTAAGCGGGCTGTTGCTGATGCGTTGTTATCTCACTTGGAAATGGCATCACCAGCCGAACTATGCCACTGGGTGATATTATCTGACATGTAGACTTTTCTTATCCTATTTTAGTGTTACAATTACATCATGTGTTTATTTTTTATTTTGTCACAAAAATAGGTGAGGAATTATTTAAAAACTATCCATACATTTTATATTGTCATATCATGAAGAGCATTTCTGTTTTATTGTTTTTTGGTAACATGAATTATATCAATTTGCACTTAGAATGTATATTGGACAGTTTGGATAGTGCTATTTCTTCTATCATCTTCATCGGAACCTTTCTTTTTTAGATTTGCTACTTTGAAAACTAAGCGACAATACACCATTTAACTACCACATTTATATGCCTGCTCCTTCCACTCTTGTTTTTCTCTCTCTCGAGTTAAAATCTGAGAAATTTGAGAACAGTGATCATTTATGGTTTAAACATTGTAAATTATCTAATATTTGAAGCGGCTGTGTTTGGTAACCAGTTTTATATTTCTAAGACTGAGAGGGTGTTTGGCCGCAAGTAGGCTTTAGCAAATCCGATATATCCGAATTTATCAAATTCAAATATTGTTAAATTCGAAATAATATTTGGTTCAGTTAAGATTAAATCCAGTTAAATTCGTTTGATAGGTTTGGAATAAATCTGTTAGAATTATTTTCTTCCTAAGCTAAATCCATTTTAATAAATCTAGATTTACATCACAAAAGAAACAGAACAAAAAAAATTGGATTTAACATGGCGTCAGATTTATCTAACTTAGAAATGGCATTTGGCTAGATTTACCTTAAACCATTACATAATTCCTATTAAAAGAAGCGTGCCAAACACATCGTGAGTTTCAAAAGGCTCCATTCTAAAATATATATTACGTCGTTAAAGTGGCTATTGCCTTTTGCAGGTATGGGGTTACGAAGATTCGGGAGTACTGTTTAGATATGATGGCATGCAACTTTGAGACATTTGCCCGGACGCGAGAGTTCAGAGCCATACTGTTGACCCTTCCTCCTCCTTCTGGAGACTCCTCTCTTCGTACCACCCGACCTAGTGCTCCGGGATCCATCGATTATTCCGGTCAAGCCAACCTTCTTGATGATTTGCGAGAGAAGTGGCTTGAGGCTGAGGGTGCAGAACTTGATAAGAGAGATGAGAGTGCAGTCCAATTTGATAAGCGTCTTGAGATGCTCATGCTCATGGCAGAGAATGAGACTGGTGAGGTCTATAGTGATTACCTTGAAGAAGTGCTTAAAGATGAAGTACACACTCTTTGAAATTGAGTACTTCTATTTTACATACCCTTTTCATGATTATAATTAGGTTAAATCAGTTTGATTTATTATTATAATAATAAATAAATAAATAGAGGGTAGAAACACCATACTTTGTGCCTGGATGTGATCTATAAGTTTTCTTAGTTTGACAGTAAAATTTGTATGTCTCTTTTCTGGCAGCTGGGAAACATTAGCTTTGACATATAATGCATATTTAGTGTTTTGTGGCGAAATAAAAAAATTTTGAATTTTTTTTTAAATTTTTGTTGGGTATTTTGGTATTACCTGTTGTTTGTCTTTCATTGTTTTAATCTAGTTATAAGGCTTGATTTTCTGTTTTATGTTGTTTTGGTCCTCTGCTTTCAAAGTTTATAGAAGCATATGACACAATCAACATGCATGCATGCTAGTAATTTTCTATTGAGACATTGACATACATACCACCCAATTCTTATGTATTTATATACCTAACACCTAAGCTTTAATTATTACATCTATACCGCTGAAATCCATCATATCACATAAAAAATATCACCATTTTAACTTTTTTAAAGTGAAGAGCACCTTTTTATGCATAGGAAAGGTGGCATGTATGTTGAAATTGAACTCTAGGTGTTAGATATGTAATCCAAAAGAATTGACTGGTATGTATGTAAATCTTTCTTTTGAATGTTATTCATGGTGATGCTTAATTAGCAGAATTATTACTGGTGTTCATTTTATTATCTTTTTAAATTTTTTTGACAATATATCCTTATGGTATATCAAATCATAAAATCAATATTGAGCCAAAATGTATGCTATATTAGAAATATAAATATGTTAAGTAACCTCCATCATTATGCAAGAACAGCTTATGGAATATTTCATCTTAGCTATATCTTTAACTTTTGTCTTCATCTTTTGTTGCCATCTTTAATGGTTGTTTTATTGCTTTAACTTGTCAGTTGGCTACTTAGTGTAGCTTTATACCTTGGCTTGCTCTGCTCCCCTTGATTTTAAGCCTATATTTGTCTTATGGTTGTGGCAATTTACTTATTGGTTTTTGATGATCATTTATTTCTTGTGTTTGAAGAAATTTTCTGATTGTTTTGCTACTTGGTTGGTTCATTCATCATGTAGCTCACACAATTGTCTGCTTAGGGTTGTCTCAGTTATTTTTTTTTATTTGTTCATATAAATCTTCTTTTGTGATGTCAGTTGCTGCAGTAGTGCTTCTCTCAGTTGGTTCTTTGTCGCACCGACTTATGCTGCGCAAGCACCTATTACGACTTTATGGTGCCCCTTAGAGGTGTCGCGACACTCGACAACCCAGCGCCAAGGCCTAATCAAGACGTTGGCATTTGGCTCTCAGCAATGCTAATCAGAAATGAAGATTTGAGGTTTGGTATACTAGACCCAACTTCTTAAAGGCCAGTTGGGGTAGAAAAGGTGTGATCCTTCTCTTCATGATTACTATACGTGAAAAATTACTCCCACCGAGTGAATTTTTTTAAGGGTAAACATTGGGTTTTGATAATCCGGACCTAAGAAAATTGGCTAAACTGGGTTAGAGGAGGAATGTGGGCCTCCCACTTTGAAAGGGTTGTTTGCTAGTAAGGTCAAGCTTTTCCTAACATGAGCAATCCTATGTGGTTTTGATAATTTTGAACTAACAAATTAGTCGAAGCAGAGGAAAGAAAAGAAGTTGTAAACTTCCTTTTTGTATGTTTAAGCATGGGTATATGACCCACACTTGGGAAACTAAATATAGCTTTTGGTAACTGGGACTGAACCAAATTAGCTTAGTCGAAGATATGGGGCTCGAGCTCCCTTAAATGGTTGAAATATAAACCGAACATGGAAATTGGGATTTGGTAATTTGGACCCAGCTGAAAGCATCTAAATTAGGAAAGTGAACAAAAGAAGTACAACTCCTCCCAATTGTCTGGAAGATTGGAACCATGCAATAGATGGGACATTAACTTTATTGTAAGATTGTCTTGTCTTCTCTTTTAATACCCTAAACCAAGGTGTGACTCATGCTGGGGGAAAGTATTAAGCTCCTCTCCTTTTCAAGCATAAGAGATCTTTAGGATTTGGTTACCCAGGCCCATTGGAAAGGGCTAAATCCTGAAAGTAAGAAAAATGAATACAAAACTTCATCCCTGAACAATAGAAGATTTGATTCACGCAACAAAGGGAACATTTTCTGTGATGTAAGATCATCTTATCTACTTTTCTTAGGATCGATGCACTTTTAGCAAAGTCAAGCTTTGCTGAAGTTGGTGCCTCATCAAAGATGTTAAAAGAAACATCATGAGATCACATATGGAAAAATATGAAATATAAAAAGCAGGCAAAAGAACTCTAAACACAATCTTTTATTACTCGAATTAAGGTACAAGTGCATATGGAATGGCACCATGGCTCACTATTCATAATACAAAAAAGGGTAGAGTACAACAAGGAAAATCATCAATAATACTATTTTAAATGCTTCCCATTAATTGGGGTATCAGTGGTTACCATCCACATATGCCAATAGGTAAGCTGCACCTTCGTAGATTTTTACATGATCCCAAGCCCGCTCTCAAAATTCTCGTAATGGCATTGATGAGAGGCTATTAGAAGCCTTTGAATTAGTATGAACACTTTGATAATCAAACTATCTACTCCAAATGAAGGCTTTCATTCTCACAGGTATCCAATTTATGGTTTATACCCATACACAGTGAGAGTAGTTTAACTTTCAAAGGAATGAATGCCTTAGACTGAAGGGTCAATGCATAGAGCAGGACGACTGTGGGGGTATAAAAAGTTGTATGATATGCCCAAAAGGCTTTATGTAACTGATCATGCCACTCTTTCTTATTATAACGAAGGTTCTTCCCGATCAACATTACTAAAATTTTATTGATGGCCTTGGCTAAATCATTTGTCCTCGTGTAAGAAATGGTAGAATATCGCCAATTGATGTTGTGTTAATGGGCAAAATAATTTATCCTAGTATTTTTAAATGCTAGAATGTTGCATAGATGATGCGATGAGGAACGCCAAAATTGTACACAATGTGGTGCTTGAGAAAGTGGATCACATTCTCAGCTTTTAATATCTTCTTACCATTTAGAGAATTAGTCAATAGCTACTAAAATTAATTTGTGTCCTTTAAAGGATGGAGGAATGAGCAACCCGAGTATACATATACTCTAGGACTCAAACGGGCATTATACCGCTATGACACTATCAAATGCAGAGCATTAGGGGTTGGTGTGATAACTTGCTAAAAATTTGGCACTAGTGACACTTCTTAGCATACTCAATGTAATTTTAAGTGATAAAAATTCACTAATATCCCAAGCATTTAGCATTATCTTCATCTTGGTGTTGAATTGATGAGATTTGTAAATCCCCTCATGTATCTCAACCATGATCTTATGGGCCTCATTATTGCTAAGACAAGAGAGCAACATTTGGTCAAATAAGCATTGGTACAAAGCATCGTTCACTATGGTGAAAGAAAGAGCTCTCCTCTAAATCTTAGTCGCTAAAGAGTGATTATTAGTTAATGAAATCTTGTCACCAATTGTAAGATTAGTCTGCTGAGGTGGCTAAGACCTCACTGTGTGGGCTTGCAGTTGCAACTGTGGCTATATCAAGGATTGTCATAACCATTACAGGGTCTCTAGTTAGGTTGGACAATTCCTTAGCCTATAGGCCAAAGCGTCCACCTTACCCATTCATTGATCTTGAAATCTTAATGGGTTCACATTGGGAGTACAAGATATTAAGGTAATGACTTGATTGTGGTAACTCAAAAGTTTGATTTTAACACCTTATAGATGTTCGTTACTTGGTTTATCATGAGTTGAGAATCACCATATATTTTAGTTCTCCTCATGTTCATCTAAACGATAATCTTTAAACCTAGGATTAGAGCTTGATATTCCACCTCATTATATGTATGTGACTCCTTCAAAGTATAAGAATAATGTAGGATGCCATGGTTAGGCAAGGTGAATATGAGTTCAATCTCCCCCTTAATATGAGGAATGGCTCTAGACAACTCCTTTTTTAAGGAAGACACTCGACCAAAGTAAAGCTCCCATTCTAGGGTGTCAACCTCTAGAATGTGCTCATCATAAAGATTATTGCTCAGAGACGAGTCAGGTGGTATAAGATGAGCAACTAAGAAGTTTACTAAGGCTTGCTAATTGAGGCAAATAAGTTGTATCGAGCGGAAGCTATAACATTAGCACATTTAGCCAAATGACCTGCCAAAGTAGGGTGATTCATATGATATTGTAAGGGATCAACCCTTGAGATTGGACTAATATGATGAGACAACATATAGTGTCTTAATTTTTGGACTAAAAATATCAATGTCAGTCATTTCATCTCAGTGAGGATGAAATGTCAACGCAAATATTACAAGGCTTTTTCTTTTCTCTCATTGTTGGTTTGAGCTATTAGAGCACCCATTGACTCGTCCAACATGACAGGATGCAGAGTCAAGGGCTTCGCTAAAATAGGGACTGCCAAAACTGGGGACTTCAAAAGGTATTGTTTGATATTATCAAATTCCTTCTAAAGACCTCATCCTAATGGATTTGAATCAATTTTTTTATATTTTACTTCATAAATCTCATGCTTTGATTCCTTATTTTGATGATTTTATGCTTGTTTGAGGTGCTCTTGTTATTTCTTGCAGGATATAGGTGGTAAGCGCTTCAGGTAATTAAAGACAAAAAAGTGGCTAAAAGATCGATCACTAGAGTACCCAAGCCTAGAAAAGGCTCTCTCGTGCCTCTGCAAGCACACTCGTGTTGCCTTACCAAGTATCCAATACACCCACACCATTGCCTAACGTGCCTGCGTCGGCTCTCAGCTCATGGTGCCCTATTTCGTAAATTGTCAAAATTAGGAGAATTTCTTACTAATTTTGAGCCCTAACTATATAAGAACATGTAATTGAAGGATAAGAGGAACACGTTGCTATGGAGGCTTTCCCTAGCTTTAGAAGAGTCTTTATAACCTTAGGGTTTTCTCTATTAGTTCTCTTTTGTGGAATATTTCTTGGGTATTTTCTAAGAGAATTGTGAGAGTTGTGAGAGAGATTTGTGTGAACTTGTATGAGAGAGATCTACAGAGAGCTAGCATGATAAGGAAAGAATTGCAAATTATTGCAAGGGGCAATTGACTCAAGTGTGTCTTTTGTACCTCCTTATGTTGTTTGTCTTAATGTTTCAATGGAAATCTTTTTGTTTTCTTCCCTCATGCATAGTAGCTGATTTTATTTCATACTCCTATGATGCATGGCATATGATGAATCAATGTTTTGATTTATGAGTTTCCCTCAATGTTTTCTTATGCTTTAAATTTCATATGTTGATTTTGATTGTATTTTACTTTTGATCTAGCCAATTAAGAAGTTAAATCCTCTAGTAATCTAAGACTTCTAACATTGACTTTAAGAACAAGTAGGTTAACACACTCTCACCCAGTGGAATAGACATATTGTTAATAAGAGAGTGCAACCTTGTTAGAAGATTAGAGGCTTTTGGTGAATCCTTGCACGGTTAAGCCCCATTAACCGTAATATGAGTTTCTGACACTTATGACCTAGAAATAATATTAACAGAGAAACTCATTGGAAAAAAATATTGAGAAATCACTAGTCTAGTCTTACAGGAGTATGAAACTTTCACCTCTAAAAACTCTACTAAAACTTAGCACTATTTTCTGCTTACTAAATTAGGATTTTAGAACCTTTAACTTTCTATAAGTCTGAACCCTTCATAATAGACTTAGCAGTATGTATACTAGAACTTAACTAATTATAAAAGTTGACAAGTTTCTTTGTGGGATCGATACACTGACTCTAATTATGTATATTACTTGATCAACATATATACTTGGATGATTGATTGATTGTTTCACAATAATATATGGTAACAAGATTTTGATTCAAAACTAAAGAAGAAAAATATTACAAATTTGATTCACATCAACTCCCTTAAACTTATCTATTACTTTCAAAAGTAAACTTATATTTAAATTAAGATTTATTTAAATAGTTTTCATACCTCTCTTGTGAGAATTTTTTATTCTTTAACAATACTATACAAGTCATAATAAATGATGCACAAATATCATCTGAGGGTTAGATTTTTTATTAATTTCTAATAACTTATCATTTTGTTAAATCACTTCTTCTAAGCCTAAACAGATCTCAAATCAATTAATTTATTATGACTAAAATATTTCAATTACCCTTAACTATTTTTAAGTCAATTAACTATCAATCAAACACCTCAAAATTTCTTAACTTTCTCTTGACTATAATATAAAATAATTACA